AGGAAGAGGAAACAGGGGCGGTGGAGAAGATCGTGAAGATGTGTAGCTTCGAGAATCTGAGCAACCTGGAGGTGAATAAGACGGGAAAGCACCGTCAGGACACCCAAATGCCAATTCAAAACAATGTGTTCTTTTGGAAAGGAAAGATCGGAGATTGGAAGAACTATCTGACGCCCGAAATGGCCGCACGCTTGGACAGGATAACAGAGCAGAAACTGGGGAACTCTGGCCTGAATCTGGTTCGTCACTAAACACACATGGTGATTTGCGATTATGTTCCTGGAAAGTGTTTTCAGAGAGTATAGTTCGCAAGTACAAGTGCTGTAGCATCGTATCTCATGTTGCTCGTTCATAGCACCGTTGGTCCAACAAATAAAACGTTGTGATTATTATCTGCATTTGTTGGTATCTATCATTTTATGTTTTGCCGACAACAACGACTTAAGCAGCTTAATGCAAATATTTTCTCCAAATGAAACAAGAAATTCAAGATTTGATCCCATGATCAAAGGGTGAAGTGGTTTAAGAAATAAAAGATAGTTACTTGTTGTTATGTAACTCAGATAGTTAACTTTTATTGTGGGACTTTAATTTTCAGATTTCATTTAACAAAACAGCCAGAGACTCAGAGAGAGATGTATGGTAATGAGGTAGATTCGACACTGCTCAATGTAAATTTTATTCGTACACATACAACAACACAAACATACTGCATGTGCTTGACTTTACTAAACATATTGAAATGGATAAAGATACGTCCACCCACCAGTTCAACACCTGTGGGAGTACATATTATAAAATAAGAATTTTTCCTATATAAACCAAATAAATGTAAGAATAAAATTATAAATTTAACCTTTCTCTTCTTTTTCTTTCATCATCCTCTAATCACCATTTTTACCCATCATCTCCGATCTTCATCATCCTCCACCTTCATCACCGATCATTCTTCCTCATCATCAATCACCCATCTCTAATCTTCATCACCTTCATCACCGATCATTCTTCTTCTTTCCCTCACCTCTTTCTTTCTTCTTTTTTTTTTTTTCCCTTACCTCATTATAAATTCTGTTTTTTTTTTTTTTTTTTGGATGGATGGATTTGATGAAATGCTTGAGTTTTCCTGAGATTTGGTTGTTGAATGTCTAGAATGTTTGAATTTTGCTGGGATGTGGTTGTTGAATGTGCTTGAATGCTTGAGTTTTGTTAGGATTTGTTTCGTGAGAAATAGATTTAGTGAGAAGGATAAATTTATAATTTTATTGTTTAAATCAATTTGAGTGTAAAAATAAGTGTCGATTCATTGGTGTACGTATCATTATTCTATTGAAATAAAAGAAAATGATGTATTTACACCGACACACACAGTTACACCATTCGATTCAAAAAAAATAACATGAGTTAAGTACGTTTGTATAGCTTTAAAAACTCATCCCTAGCTTATCTGGGTTATCTCCTTCGAAATCCCTAGTCTTGAAGGCAATTCAATTGACCTTCCCCGACCTCCATTTCTCCAAATCCGACCTCCATTTCAACCCCTCCAAGCTCTACAGACTCATCCCAATTTGGTGAAACCATTTCAATCGGCCTTCCCTGACTTCCATTTCTCCAAATCTGGGTTATCTCCTTCGAAATCCCTAGTCTTGAAGGCCAATTCAATCAGCCTTCCCCGATCTCCATTTCTCCAAATTCGACCTCCATTTCTCCAAATAGTGCACATTTCAGCACTTGGGCAATTGATTTTGTGAAACCTTGTCAATCGTCCTTCCCCGACCTCCATTTCAAATGAGATAGAAACCTGCATTACATTCATCCATTTCAATACTGGAAACCTGTATTGAAATGAAGAAAATGAAGAGTATGCATAGATGAGATGCAGGGATGTGTGGGTTGACAGATACCCAAATGAGTCTTTTGAGAATGAGGTGGATTCATGTTCTGATGATCAAATTGCTGCAAATGAGAACCTTTTTAATGAAGTTAAGAAGAACAGGTTTCTGTATTTAAAATTTTCAGAGCCATACTAGGGTTTGATGTTGTATTTAGATAGCAGCCAGACAAAGGTACAGAGGATTCTTGTCTCTGTTGCAAAGATTTAAGGATTTTACCATGGATATTCTGCTGATGTTACTAACCCATCAGGTGAATTCTCTAAACATAACCATCCACTTAGTTGGTTTCTATTATATTATTCATCCTAATTCCTTAGTGTTTATTCTTTTGTGGTAAAGAATGTAGTATTTTAAATGCTAAATTAATTTTGGGTTCTCAACTTAGAATTCATTTATTAGTGTTGTGTTGTACTGTTTTATTTTATAACTACAGGTTTTTTAATTTTTTTAATTTTTTAAAATATATAAAATATTAATTAAAATTAGTAAAAATATATAAAAAATTAAAATTAATTAAGAATTATAAATTTACATTTTTGAATGAGATGTTGAGTAAAAAAGCTATGTGAGAAGCACCGGCGAACAAATCCTTAATTTGTATAATTATTAATTGATTCAAAAGGTTAACTATACCTTTGCTAATTTGATTGGGTAAAAAGACTATAAATGTTAAACTTTTGAATTATTAAGTTTACATTTTAGGTTCTGGATTTTATTGTACTATTGATTTTAGGAAGAGAAAAGGTGTGGATAAAAATATGAACTTTGCTATTTTTTTTATTTAAAAATGTGAATTTTGTTGAGTTTTAAATAAGACAGTAAACTTTTAAGTTTTTTTATTTAAAGATGTCAATTTTGCATTCTTTTTATTTAAATATATCAATTTTGTGTTTTTTCATTTTGTAACAATAATTATTAAATATAAAAAATTAAAAAGTTAATATATTTCAATAAAAAAAGTTGAAAGTTTACAATTTTAATTAAAAATTGATCAAAATTATATCCTTAAATAAAAAAAAAAAGGACAAAATTTAAATATTTATCTACACCTTTCCTCATTTTACAAAAGCATTCAAAACATAATTGCGCAAGACTAAAGAAGAGCAAAACCAACAAGGCCATAATAAAATAATATATTGGCTATCGCTTTTGGCTATTGATGCATGGTGGGAACTAGGAGGTTTGTTTTTGGCTTGTATTTGGGGCTGTTAATGAGGGGAGTTGAGTCAAGCCGAGTACCTAAATCTCATGTTCAAGCTTGACTTACAAGTTCAAGTTTGAGTATTTGTCAAATTTAAAATAGTTGAATTCATGCTAAAATTCGTAAATATTCAAGTTGATTTGAGCTTACTCATGAGCTCAAACCAATGGGTGCTTTAACTTAAATTTGAGTTTTTTTTCTTTTTTGTAATTTCAAAATATTTCAATAAATACTTATTTAACCATAAATTTTTCTACATTTTAAAAATATATTTAGTACCAAAAGTTTAAACATATTATATCCAATAATACAAAACAACCATAAACGCCATTTTAAACATTTGTATTAATAGTCATAATACAAATTATGTAATTTATTTAAATTACTTTTTTAATTTTGTTAAATTTTGAAGTTATCATATATTTAAATTTAATAAATATATATAAAATATAATTTTTAATTATCAATTGAGTATTTACGAGTAATTATGAAAATTTGAACTCAAACCTTTTTTTTTTTTTTATCAAACTCGAACTTGAGTCAAGTTTAACTTGAAGGACTTACAAATTACTCATAAACTAGTTTACTTGTTAACAACCGTACCTGAATTTTGGCTACGCCACTGTCGGTGGATGCAATCCTTAAAGTTGTTTGGGCACTGCCCTTCAATTGTGTCAAATATAATTTCTATATCCAAGCTAGTATACATCATTTTCCACCAATAAATTTAAAATTTTATTCAAGGGGCGTGATACACGTGTGTCAAATATAAAATAGACAGAGTGTATATTGAGGGTTAATGGCCTCAAAGACAGGGGGTTCTAAGGGGCTGAAGGAAGCCCGTACATATCCAACTCTGTAAAGCTAATTGAGCGGACCAACTTAGAAATTCACCAAGTCCTCTTCCCTACCATGGAATCGCCGTTTGTTCCCTCGAAAAATCATTTTGCTGCAAATGAAGAACCTCCAAAATCATACAGAGAATTCATCTCCACCCTTCCTAGAACCAAAGGCTGGAACGCCGAAGATGATCTTTATCACTACCAAGGCTTTTGGTTCCATCCAACGTTCCTGGATGGAATCATGTCGGCTCAAGATTACTTCAAGGCTCAGCCTTCGGACATCCTCATTTGCAGCACTCCGAGAAGTGGTACTACTTGGCTCAAGGCCCTGGCCTTCGCCATTGTCACAAGAAACTCCTTTGATGACTCCACAAGCCCTTTGCTCTCCAAAGTACCCCACGACTGCGTACCCTTTGTGGAGATGGATCTTAGCCATGGATCGAGTGCTCGAGACCCTGAAATGCCCCTTTTAGCCACCCACATCCCCTTCTCTTCCTTGCCTAAATCAGTGCTCGAGTCTGGTTGTAGAATTGTTTACATCTGCAGGAACTCCAAGGATGCCTTTGTTTCAATGTTTCATTTTGCTAGAAGACTGGAGATCCAGAGAAACTTGGAGCCCCTGTCTCTGGAAGAGGTATTTGAGCTGTTCTGTGAAGGGAAATGCCACTATGGACCACAGTGGGACCATGTTTTGGGGTACTGGAGGGCGAGTTTGGAACGACCGGAGAAGATACTGTTCCTCAAATACGAAGAAGTGAAGGAAGACACTGGCGTCTACGTAAAGAAACTGGCGGAGTTTATTGGGTGCCCTTTCTCCCCTGAGGAAGAGGAAACAGGGGCGGTGGAGAAGATCGTGAAGATGTGTAGCTTCGAGAATCTGAGCAACCTGGAGGTGAATAAGACGGGAAAGCACCGTGAGGACACCCCAGTATCAATTCAAAACAAGGTGTTCTTTTGGAAAGGAAAGATCGGAGAGTGGGAGAACCATCTGACGCCCGAAATGGCTGCACGCTTGGACAGGATAACAGAGCAGAAGCTGGGGAACTCTGGCCTGAATCTGGTTCGTCACTAAACACTCATGGTGATTTGTGATTATGTTCCTGGAAAGTGTTTTCAGGGAGTATAGTTCGCATGTACAAGTGCTGTAGCAACGTATCTCATGTTGCTCGTTCATAGCACCGTTGGTCCATTGGATCATCTATGTATGTTGGTCCAACTAATAAAACGTTGTGATTATTATCTGCATTTGTTGGTATCTAGCATTTTATGTTTTGCCAACTACTACGACTTAAGCTGGTTAATGCTAATATTTTCTCCAAATGGAACAAGAAATCATAGATTTGAATCACATGACAAGCAAGTGAAATGGTTTAAGTGATAAGAGATAATTACTCCTATCGTACAACCCTAATTTTCAGATTTAATTTAACAAAACAGCGGGAGATTCAGAGAGAGGTGTATGGTAATGAGGTAGACTCTAAACTGCTCAATGGAAATTTCATTCGTATACATACAACAACCCAAACATACTGCAAGTGCTTGACTTTACTAAACATATTAAAATAAAAGCCACATAAACAATGGAAATGTGGGATATACCTTGCGAAGAGGACGTCACAGAATCAGCCAACAAAAAAGAATAGTGAAAAGGGTAAAAGACGAGGGGGGAAAGGAAGGAGAGAACTTACAGTAGGTACTACAGCGTGAAACCTATAAGTTAATTCCAGAAGGAGCTGCACTGCAACACTTCAAACACGGCTTATCACATCCCAACATTTTCATGGTTCAAACCTTCATGCCTGAAAACAAGGGATTGAAGATACAACCTTGCACTGGCTGCAGCAGCAAGAGATTCTTCATCTTGCTTCTCTTTTGTAGCAACAATGGCTGTAATATAAGCTTGTCTTGCTTTCTCCATTTTCTGCATCTCCATGTCATCCATGTCATCCTGTTCAGAGCAATGTGTTAAAATACTGAACAAGATGAAAAATGTGAAGTAAAATAAACCAACCACTCCAAACCATATTCTATCAACAGCTTATCTGCTAAAAAATATAAATTACAATCTCTACTTTGGCTTAAAATTCAAGTTCTCTCTTAGATTATTTCTTTCTTCATTTTTTTAATTGTTTCATTTCTATCTTTTTTTATGCCTCTAAGATGTGTGATGCAGGGTCCTTTGATTCTCTTACAACCTTCTGCCACACAAATGAACAAAGATTGTGAACACAAATATTATGGGATGCATAGAGAATTTAGTGTTGAGTGATACAAGTAATATAGATTATAAATTTATTAGTCACCCATATGGATACCTATTTCAGAGATCCTGCATTGTTCATTGGGGAAGGAAAGCAGAAAAAACAAATAACATTAAATATTGGGCAGGGTATCATGAGCTTACAATATATGGAAGACGATCCAAATGATATGGAGCAACATCATAATCTTCAGCATATATATTGGAATGACTCTTTGTCAAACCTTCAAATATATGCATAAATGATGAAAATTCCCCTTGCATGGAGTCTAACTCTTCTTGGAGTTTCTCCACTTTTTGATTAGATGTCATTGCTTCCCACTGCAGCTTCTCCAAGGCAGCCTGTTTGTCAGCAAGCTTAATCTGAGGAAAACCAGAGCCATTACTAAAGATGTAAGATAATTTCAAAACAAATTATCAAACTAGACAGATTTCTGGTGAATATAATTTGCATAGACACTTCATTTCATTATCAATGCAATTTCTTGATAGAGACAAATCGACATAAAACAAAAAATAAAAAAATACACAAAAGAAAAAGTTGAGGGAGGGTATGTTGGAGGTTGGAACCTCATATTATCCTAAATTCTACTTCTATTTTCAATAATCAATCTGATTGCATGTTAAATGGTTAAAAATGATTTCCAATATACAAAAAAATAGATCCTCATTCAATTTCCAACAATTTAAATGCTGAATGAAACACTTATAGATACATAGGTTTCAATCACGCATAGACTGGTGCCTCAATATTGCAGCATAGTGCAAATTTACAATGCTAGCAGAAAGACAAAAAGGAAAAATAAATAAATAAAATGGGGAAGAGGGATGATATATACCTTTGCATCAGAGAGTTGTAACTGAATTGACTTCACTAAAGAGTCCTTTTCTGCAGTCTGGCATCTTAATTCCTCAAATTTGGCATGAATATCATTCACCTCCTTCTTTGAAATCTCTGCTGATTTCAAAAGCTCGTCCTTTTCCACTAATTTATTTTGCAAATCCTCCAATTTTTCCTTTAATGTAGCTAACTCTTCATCTTCATTCTCTGTTGCCATAGCCCTTGAGGAAAAGATTGAGAAGCTGTCACCATCTTGGTTATTGCTAAGATTTTTACATTGGTCCCTGTCTGCTTGGTCCTTTTTCTTTTTGGGAATAGACTGCAAGGCAGTCCTTCCCCTTGGTTCAGCTGCCTTCATGCACAGAAAGAATAGAATTGCCAAACATTTAATTATCTATGCAAAGCAAATAACATCACCTCAGGTGAAAGTAGATGACAGGAAAGAAGAGAAGATAACAAATGCAACGTGAGACACACATTAATGAGGACAAAACACCTAAGCTAGTTATCAAAATAAAAACAGAGGTTCTTGCTAAAGAGAAGAAAACATAGAAAATGTATCAAATAGCAGTTTAATAATACTAAGAACCATGAAAAATTAAACCTGAATTAAAACAATCACTAAAGTTCTTAACTCTAGCTAAGATTTGCTTACATGTTAGTTACTCTTTTCACCCTGGCTAGAAACTTACAACTGTTTCCCACCAATAGAAATGTATTAGGGAAGTAATACCAAAACAACTAAGCCAACCCTAGGCAAGGTGAGAACCAGAATTGGAATAGTCACAATGTGCCACAAATAATTAGTAGTCACATCACGAATCAGCGATACTGATACTTCATTGCCTTGTAAATCAGATGGCAACCTCTACTTACAACACACTAGCAAGATCCCAAAGATTTAAGTACACTCTGTTTTCTGTTCTATGTAGTTCACTGTAATGCATGTTTCATATGATAAATAAATTTTTTCAAGGAAATGCCCATGTTAAAAGGGTAAAAACCCTCATACACAGAAGGAAAAGAAAAATACCCTCAAGGCTAAAATGCAAAATAAAAGCTAATTCCATCCTGACTCAACTTATACCCTTGACTATATTAAACCGGTAGCTTCTTTCAATTATCAGTTTATTACATAGCCTAGGAATCACAAAACTTTAGTTGAAAATAAACAATCAAATAAGAATTTGTGGGACTTGAAAATGGCTTCAGCAATTAGCATTACTCATCTCAAAATGTGGGGAACTTGCCTTACTACCCTGTTGCTTCTCTTCACTGTCCTATTGGAGGCCTATGAAGCATTTGATCTCTATCAAAAATAGGACAAAAGAGGTTCTTTATGTCACTTCTGTTGGCATTTTCTCACTGATATATTACAGAAGCACTATATTCATGTATATACTGAATCATTGCATCAATTCCAGTTCTTACAAAAAACTCATAATTACAATTTAGTCTTCCACAAAGAGCAAAGAAACTAGAAACATTAAAAATCAAGCAATATATAACTACCCAGCTTTTCAGTTTCCAAGCTCAAAAGTTTTCCCCTGAATTCAATTAAGCATAGATAAACAGAAGTTCTTACTTTTCGGGATAAGGATTCCCTTGAAGGTGTCTTGGTGTAGATCATTGAACCACGCCGGGTAAACGAACTTCTAGCTTTCCTTTCCTAGCAAATTCAAATGGAAACATTAACAAAAATCACAGCTTTACTTCTTGAAAGGAATTTTTCTAGTTTCTCAAAGTAAAGATGAAACACAGATTAAACAAATTTTCTTTTCAAACAATTCCTTCTCTTTTTCCTTCATCTCGGTTTATCAAAAGCCAAATTAATTACTCAAGCAAGAAAAATAACATTTTTTTTCTAAAGTAGAAGACCAATTTTCCTTCATTAACACATTTGAAATATCACTACTAAATTTCTCTCTTTCCTCTTCCCCAATTCCCATTTCCTTACTAAACAAACAAAAGCTAAGAAATTTGAAAAAAGAACTACGAATTTATGAAGAGAGAGAGAGAGAGTTACGATGAGGGACTGAACAAGAGGGATCATCTCGACGAGGTCGTTGTAGAGGACGCGGTCGACATTGCCGCTCCCGGCGGAATTAGCTAGTGAAGACTGAATTCGGCGGTGGGTCGGAGACGAGCCAACCTCTCCCGATAACCAGGAGTTCTGATCCCCGAAACCAGAATTTTCTTGCAAATCCATGAAATGTTGCGGCTCGAACATCTTTGAATTTTCTCTTCGATTCGGAAACTGAAGATTGATTACAATAAAATCAGAAAATAAAAAAGAATGAACTTTGTTCAGTGAGAGGGAAGGAAGGAGTTAACGGCGCAGTGTGAATTTTGTTTCTACTTCCATTTTCGGAGGAAAATACAGTGTTACTAAAATGTTCCCAATCTTTGCTTTAACTATCGTACAGTCCATCACGTTTATAAACGGTACTCTCTGCTATTATTTTTTTTTATTTTAATTATGTAATAAAAAAAAAATCATCTCCCATCTTTTATATCTTATATCACCCATGCACCATATGATTCAAATTTAAAATATTTTATTTTCAATAAAAAAAATAACCACTAAACTATTTAAATCATCATTGATGCTATTCATTTTAATTTACGAAACAATCCTATTCTATGTTACAAGTTCAGACAAAGGTCATTAAATGAGAAATAATCTTAATATTATAGAATTTATTTATATATAATAATTATAATTATATAATTTGATATGATTTAAAATGTATAATATTTTTTATAAAAATTTTTAATTTATATCATTTATTATATATTTTTATTATTAATTTATATAAAAAATAAAAATTAACTTTAATTTTATCAATTTTTAATAAAAATGTTTTCTTTTTTTGGGATAAAATATAAATTTTATTTATCCAATATAACAATACAATACAATAGAGTAGCAAGCTGCTACAAAGAATGAATATCAACAAACAATGAATATCAACAAACAATATCAAAATACACAAATATATGCAACTATCCTAGAAAATTTAGTCTTGCACCACTGTTTCAAGCCCCCATTGACATGCAATGGCCACAAGCAAATGGGAGGATCTTGGCCGAGCAAAACCCAAGATCTTACACCTGACATCAGATTTGATTTCACATACAATAGCACTGTAATTCTTAAAAGTTTTTTGGTGAATTCTCTTGTTCCTCTCTGTCCAAATATGATAAACAGTAGCATTCCATGCTAACTTGATTAAAACACAATATAAGGATTTTCTTCTAACCTTTTTCCCCATCCAACTTAGCAAGCCCCTCCAGGAATCAATGAAAGGGATGGCAAGCATGCTGCTCAGTTGCTGCCATACTCTTCCTGCCATACGCTTCCTGCGTAAGAGCATTTAAAAAATAGCTGCTCGTTCGTCTCAGAATTGTTGTTGCATAGGATTTATGTATCGGGGATAATAGGAGTCCATTTCCTTTGCCTAGCCCTTGTGCTCAATCTATTGAGAATAGCTAGCCAACTTATGAAACTGTGCTTGAGAATAGCCTGAGATATTAGACCAGTTTATACCATATTTTCTTGTCTTACTTGCTTCTTAATCGGTGGCAAGTTTGCCCAGTTCTGAAAGAACCAAAAGAGGAAGGTAACCATACTACTAAATCCTTCTTTCCTTCCTTTGGGTAGAAATCAAACAAATGCATTTGAATTTGTACTAGTTGGGGAGATCTAGTAGGAGGCCATTGGAAAAAGCCACCATTTATTACTCTAGCCAATTTTGCCTGGGAAGGTAGCCCTACAGCTTGAACAATAGAGCTGCCATACACCTGTAATAAAGGGCCAGAAGGATGCCAGTTGTCATGCCAAATATATATATCTTGGCCATCACTTGGTACATGTTGAATAAGCTTCCTAGCCAATTGTCTTGGCTTCAAAGTTTTTCTCCATCCCCAAGAAGCATCAATAGGTATTTTAATAATCCAAAAACTATTGCTCCGGAGCAAATATTCATGGACCCACGTTATCCAAACTGAACCTTCTTTAGAGAATAATAACCGGATAAATTTGAGAATGCAAGTTTGATTCTAGTGCACCAAGTTTTTTAATCCTAAGCCACCCTCCTGCTTGGGGGTACACACAGTAGCCCATTTTACCTTAGCCCCTTTAGCACTATGAGTGTCATTATTCCACAAGAAGGCACCAAATATTTTCTCCACTTCTTTTATGACTCCTTTAGGCAGTATAAAAACAAAACACCAAAAATTAATTATCCCCTAAATGACAGAAGAAATCAGCTGCAATCTTCCAGCAAAAGAGAGGTGTTTTGTTGCCCATGAAGTCATCCTTTCAGTCATTTTAGACACCAAGAGTCTAAGATCTTTTTGAGTCAATTTACCAATGATCAAAGGCACACCTAAGTATCTGACTAGTAGTGCTCCAATTTTGAACCCAAACCTGTCAGTAAGCTGCTGAAGTTGATTTGTAGAAAGACCAGAACAAAAAAGCTCTAACTTAGCATAATTGAATCGTAAACCAAATATCTCATAAAATTTCTTCAAGGCATCATCAATAGCCTCAAGAGAAGAGAGACTACCATCACTGGATATAACCAGGTCATCAACAAAACAAAGATGTGTAAGCTGTACCTTCTTGCATTTAGGATGGTATGCAATCCTCCCTTCCTCAGCTGCCCTGTTCAACATTCTAGAGAGAACCTCCATGCAAACCACAAAAATATATGGTGATAATGGGTCTCCTTGCCTAACACCTTTTCTTCTAGGAAAATATCCACATAAGTTGCCATTAAACACAATTGAAAACATTGGAGTAGTTATGCAAGCTCTGATCCAATTTACAAATTGGCTAGGGAATCCAAGCAAGAGCAGAATTTGAAAAATGAAATCCCATGACATTGAGTCAAAAGCTTTCATAAGATCTATCTTCAAGGCGCACCTTGAGCTTAAGCCCTGCTTGTGGTAGCCTTTTACCAATTCCTGAGCTAGCAGAATATTTTTTACCATCAACCTTCCTTCCACAGATGCACATTGGCTATTGCTAATGAATAAGGACAAGCACTTTTTGAACCTATTGGCAAAAATCTTTGTTATGAACTTGTATAATAAGTTGTAGCAAGAAATAGGCCTGAATTCTGTCATTTTTTCTGGATTTTGCGTCTTTGGTACTAGGGAAATAATGGTAGAATTAACTTGCTTCAATAACTGTCCAAAAGAGAAGAATTCTTGTATCGCCTTTGTAACTAAATCTCCCACAACAGGCCATGCAGCCTTGTAAAATTCTGAGGTGAAACCATCTGGTCCAGGGGCTTTATTACTTGGGCTTGAGAAAATTACAGCTTTAACTTCTTCTGTAGTGACTGGTTGGGTAAGAAGATCTGCTGCAGTATCGGGCAGTTGAAAATGAAACAGATCTTGAATCCAATCTTTTCTGACTTTAGTGCAATTAGGGTCCATAGTACCCAGCAACCCTTAGAAAAATTTAACTGCCTCATCTTCCATGTCAGAGAGCTTGGTAAGTTTCTTATTGTCAAGTGTATGCAGTTCTCTGATTGTATTTTTCCCTTTTCTAACAGTGACCACTTTGTGGAAATAGGCAGTATTATTATCACCTTCCTCTAACCATTTTATTCTGGATTTCTGCTTATAAAATGACTCTTCAACTAATTCCAAATTTTTAGAATGCTGATATAGTTTGTCTCCTAGAGACCCCTGTTCAACAATCAAAATTCATGGAGATTTCTAGTTTCTTGTTGCCATGTTAGATTGCATTTCACAACTATGAGCATTCTAGGCTTGGTAGAAATCTGGATATTTCACAAGCATTATATTCACATTACTGTCTCTGCCACGAGTTGCCAGGCTATCCACTGCCATGCTTACAACTCTCTCTAGTTAGTACCTATTCCTTAGTGCTATTTATGCTGACCCATATTCAGATGCTACTAGACAGAAATTGTGGGATGAGCTAATACTTCTTAGCCAAGCACTTCCTGCTGTTCCTTGGTTAGTTGGGGGTGATTTTAATGATATTAGGTCATCCTTAGAAAGATCAGATGGTGCTAGTCTTTCAAAGGAATCATTGATGTTTCATGACAAGCTTAATACTGCTGAATTGCATGATTTGCCATCATTTGGACCTTTTCTTACTTGGTGCAACAATAGATACAATGAACTAATCACAAAGAAACTTGACGGACTAATGGTTAATGATGTTTGATTTAATACTTTCCTAGGAACTTTTGCTGAGTTTTTGCCTCCAGGTTGTTCAGATCATTGTGCTAGCAGTGTAAACATCTCTGTACCTACCCTGAATGACAGAAGAAGACCTTTTAAATTCTTCAATTTCTGGATAAAAAATGACAAATTTTTAGATACAGTAAAGCAAGTTTGGGATGCCACTCAATGCAAGGTTGCTACATGTTCAAGCTATGCAAGAAATTGAAGGCCTTGAAGCCTGCTTTCAGGGAATTAAATTTAGATTGCTATGCTGACCTTCCAAATAAAGTGCAACAAGAATTGCATAGGTTGCACTTGCTACAAAGTGATCTCTTGACATGCCCTACTGCTGAATTAATTCATTTGGAGCATGATCAATAAAAATGTTATTAATGTTAAAAGAAAATTTTATTTTTATAATTTTTTTTATATAAATTAATAATAAACAAAATAATACATACATCTTTTAAACTAGACAAACCATTAACTGAAACATTTTTCTGTACAATATTTTAAGCACGAGGTTTTGGTTTCTTCATTTTTCTGGTCAATCCCTGGATGGTATAGCCTTAATCTATAAGCAAAACATATAATAAAAAAAATATTGTGCCAATTGTGTTAACTATATAATTTAAATTATTAAATAAAAAATAATTCTCTAATACTAAGAATTGTGTTATTTAATAATTTTTACTCTACAGTTTCACATGGTCAAAATTATAAGATATAAAATTCAAACAAAAATATTAAATAATGTAGTTTAATATATTTTTTTTTTAAAGAGTAAAATTCCTAATTTTACTGTAGTTATAGTGGGCATAAGGACGAGAAAGGGCTGTCATGTTCTTTGAGTAACAAATATAGCTCTAAGCTATTATCAATTCTCATTATGTTTTCTGAATCCGTTATTTTATAATTTATAACAATTGAAATTATAAAAAAAATTATATTTTATAATTATTTTATATAATTTATTATCCAAGTAAAAATTTTACTCAAATAATTTATGATTATTTATATCATCAATTTTATAATTTGATAGTAAAAATATCTAAATTGTTAAATATAGGTTTAGAGTTTAGTGCAATATTAAAAAAGGATTTTTTTTATTTGTGCCCTTAAGGTATAAGATAAATGTATATTTTTTATATTTTTTATTATTAATTATATTTTAATTTACATAAAAAATAAAAAAAATTAATATTAATTTTAATATGTATGACACATCAAAATATTTTTATTAAATAATTGATAAAATTAATATTAATTTTTAATTTTATTATGTATATTAATAATAAAAAATATAATAAATATATTTTTATTCTCAGTACGTTAAGGACACAAATAGAAATATTCATTAAAAAATAACAACAAACATGATCTTTTATGTCAGATGATGCCAACGAGGCAACACAAACAGCTTGGTTTTGTTCTAACCAGGCATGCTTAGTGCCCAAACAATGCCACGGTCTGGCAACATGTCACGTATATATATATATATATACATATATCAACAAAGGTGGAAACCATTGGGGAAATCCTCAGAGAGGTGATGGAGACATAACGTTTGTGTTGGCAAAGTGGCAGTTCGTGTGGTTACTGTTACATGGTATAATGAATATTTAATGTTTTGAACTAACTATTTATTGTTCTCAGTTTTATTTTTCCATCTTTTCCTTTTGCTTCTGACCCCATTAATTAACTTTCCCTTTGAGCATATATAGATGCCTATGTAGGTGTGAGGCTTTAATCCCCAGATGGGGTTGGTTTTGATTCTCAATTTCTTTGCCATGGCTGCATAAGAGAAGATGCTGTAGAAGTCGACCCAGTTTTTAAAAGGCTGATTCAAGGGGTACTGTTCTGTGTTTTGTGTTTTCATGCCCCCAATCTGTTTTATTTTATTCCTCTGACGAGGAAACTTATAAATTTTGATGATAGAAATTTGAAGTGTTTTGTTATACTTTTTCCGATTTATGTGCTTTGTTAGTTTGCTGAGAAAATTTTTATCATTTATGTGTTTTCTTAGTTGATTCCTTCTCTTTCTTTAGCATCCAATCTTACTTTACTTTTTGTTTGATCAAGTAATGATGCAAATATTTTTCTTTTAAAAGGAGCTAGCTGATGATGCCATTGGTACAAAGAAAACTGCCTGCTAAAGTTTGAATGGTACAAAAAACCTTTTGGAAAGTGCTACGTTTTGGTGGAATCTTTCTTTATAATTGATGGCTGACATACTAGTTTAATCCAAAATTATTAGGAAATGTTATACAGATCAATTTTGATCCCTGGAGTGGACCCTGTATGATCTGGTTTCTTCAATTTTTCTTTGTGCGGTTCATCTTTTGTTTTGGCTTTAATGTTACATAGCTTAGAGGCTTCTATTTGTTGCTGTTCAGGTGAAACTTGGAGACTTGGAGCTGAGACTTGAGACTTGAGACTTGAGACTTGAGGCTTGAGGTCCTCTTTCTTGTTACTGGTAAGTTGAGTTATGAAATGTCTTTCAAATTTCAATTAATAGAAGTTAAATAACATAATTAGATTTTTTAAATTTGGTCACTGATTCTTCATTCAATACATACTTCCAGCATAAGCTGCACGATTCATTGTAGTTCAAAACTATTTGATTTATTTGGTTAGTAATTGGCTATTGTAGTAGGAAATCACGTAGAATAAAACATTCCCCTTATCTTGGTACAATGCAAGGGTGGAAAATATACCCTTTATTCATATTCTGAATGTCTTGTCAAATTTTTAATGGACTTTCTTTTACCTGTCTTTATTTATTATATCCGTATGTGTTGCTTCTAAAACTCCATTAGCGGCACAAGAATTATAGTCTCTCATGCTCATGTGAATTTTGCAACTTGCTGTGTTTATAAAATAAAAACACCTTTCATCTCTGGATGAAGAAATTATTTTAGAGCCGGTATATATAAACTATAGATTTTTTCTGTTTTCATACCAGCAATGTATGTAATGTACCTAACGAATGGTCATACAGAATACATGTGCATGCTTTTTGCTCCAGCCAACTAATTTCGAGTCTTTTAAATTCCATGACCATTGTGAAGAAAAGGGAGAGTTGAACAGACAGAAAGGAGGCAGTCGGGTTTCCAGCTCTTAATGGTTTCATGGCTCAGGAAAATCCAGCTCAGGGGGCATCATATGATCTCACTGATGTAGAAAGAAGTAAGGAAGGGAAGAAACATTATAGAAATAGAGTCTTCCTTGATCCCAACAGACCGGAGTTTGTTGTATTTCTTCAAGAAAGTGATTATCAGTTTGTTAAGGACATTTTGTTGGAGAAGGAAGCCTCTTCAGAGAAAAGAAACCAGTCAAATTGTAGCATGTTTGGCCAGAATAATATCTCTTCCAATCAAAAGGCGGTGTCATCAAATGCTCCTGAGATTCTAATGAAGGAAATTGAAGATTCTGATGCAAGAGATGGCCGTTCTTCCAATGGTGAACAACATAATGAAGGCCACATTCATCGTTCTGTGACTTCTTTGTCCACCAGAAGCAGCCCTGAGGACTCTCCACAGACTAAAAATCTGCAGCAGCCTGGAGGAACTGAGAGCTTGTCCATACCTGAAGACACAGTGTTTAGAAGCCTGACTTGTTCAACTCAAAGCTTCCTTGATCACCAACTTGCACAAGAAGAATCCAGTTCCTTTGCAGTTGGATCTCTTTTCCACCCAATTCCATGCTCAGGTAGCGTTTCTCTAAGGTCAAATAGCAGCACTGCAAGCTCCCAGTCTTTCGCTTTTCCCATGTAAGTTCCCCTTCTCATATTCTGTAATTGAGTTATGCAATGGGAGGTAACTCTCCCAATGACAGTAGCATTCAATTTCACATTCTTACAACAACAATCAAAGTATTAATTCACGCTTTTTGGTGGTTATATTGAATTTAACGGCTGACTATAGTTTTGGCTTTTCTTGTAAACAGATTGCCATCAGAATGGAATGGCAGCCCAGTCAGAATGGCAAAACCTGACGAGAAGCAATTGAGGAAGCACCAGGGTTGGAAGATTCGTTTTCTGTGTTGTAAATTCTGAAGTTGTGTGATTCCTTTCTTGACACAGTTGATACAATTTTCTCCAATTTGATCTGGAATTAATCGGTGTGTATATTGTAAGGATTGAGTTGCATAATAGAAAGTAACATTACTTCCATTGGATGGATTTGCAACTCATTTTCTGTTGTTACTTTCAAAATTTTGAATAAGTTATATACAACAGGAACAGTCTTTTCTTTCTTAAATTTATCACTTTCCATTCTTATATTTTCTTAAACTCATCACTTTCCATTCTAAGTTTTGAACTTGGATGTTTACGTTCTTAATCCTAACCTAAAATTTTACCAACTAAAAATTAGTTGAGAGGTCGAAGGTGGGTGATTTGGAATTTTGCAGAATTTAGAAGTTATGCTAGGGCCAAACTAAAATGGAAATTGAAAGGCAAAATCAACAAAATTGGGAATTGAGTTTTGTGATATTGACATGATTAATTATCAATTAGGCTACACTTTAAATCATTGGTGCCAGGATAAATGTGTTTTGCCAGCATTCTGGTATTCCCCATACCCAACAGTTTGACGTTAATATCAAAGCGATTTTTCAATAAAAATATCAAAGGCCTGTATAAATTAATCAAGATGTGTTGAGGAAGCTTAATTAGATAATGAAGATATTGTTAAGATAAATGTTCCTTAAAGTATGAAGGGTTGTGTGTTTTATTTTATTTTATTTTTTGATACATTTGATTATAAGTTGTACAAGATGAGATAACCCTCTTTCATTTTCAAATTCTTTCTTATCTGACTCAATACTCGAATTTAAAATTTTAAAATTTTAACTATTAAATTACTCTACTGAAATTTATGAATAGCTGTTTAGCAAAACTTAAAAAGCATGTCGCTTTAAAAACAAATTTCTTCCAAAAGTTTTAAACTGAGTTTTGAATTTTTTTAATAAAATTTTAAATTTAAAAAAAAAAAAGAATTTATTTTTTAACCTCTAACAAATACCTTCTAAATTGACAAAATGAAGTATCAATTCAAAAAAATATTCTTTGTCTGAATGTATTTTGTAATATAGATTGAGACTGAAAATAACACTTCTTATTTTATAATTGGGATATTTATATATGTCTAAACCACAAGGAAGCATTTCAAGGAGAAAGAATAAGATAATTGAAAACCATTAGAGGAAATAGTAGCTATATCTCCCAACGGTCATCTAGCCACCTTGTTGATGAAAATTAAGATAAAAACGTGAGGTGGGGTGGAAGAAGGACCCAATTGCTCTGGCAACCATAATGGTGGACCGATTGCATTACATCCCATCAAGGTCAGTGCCTTACCTTGAGTCACCATCCATATCCATGTCGAAAGCAATCTCTTTGATCAACTAATAACCTATTCTCTCCTTTACTTATGAAGTTTTTTAATTTGAGCGATACTTCTCATATATAGTTAAAATGTAAATATTATATCGAATATGACATATTTAATATTTATAAAAGTAATTCATAGATATAATGTCTTAGATCAATTAATATTTTATTCTCCTTTTTATTGGTAAAACTTTTTAATTTAAATTATCATTTTTAATGGTGAAATAAGAAAGAGATGATAAGTAGGATAATTTTTTTAATCCTAATTATTTAAACTTTTTTTCTTCAATAACCTTAATTTATTTTTATTTATTTTTAATTTCTTAAGATTTAAGGTTGAACGTATATTTAGCCCTCCTTTCCTATAAAAAGGTTGAATGCATACTTAACTTTCCTTATCCATAATTCTATTACTATAATTTACATATTTAACTCTCACAAAATAATATCTTCGATCAACTAATACTCTCCATTACTTACGAAGCCTTCTTAATTTGAACAATCCTTCCCATGGCCATACCACAAACTACATTACATTTTCCAAGGAAGGTAACAAACGGAAGTAAAAAATTTGAAATCAAACGGGAAAATCATGTTTTAATTCCTTAAACTCTGACAAAATTCATAGTAAAGCCCCATATATTTTTTTTCTTGGCAAATGTATCCCATAAAGTGACTACACAGATGTAGAAATTAATTTGATCAAGTTAAATGGATTCGGTTAAATTCTTCAGAGTTGTTTGGTGGGCCTTCATGATGTGCCATGCAGGCTTGGTTCCAAATGAGTTTGGATCTCGTAGTCCACTTCAGCTTCGTTGGGGTAGCTTATCGGCTTGGATCTATCCTGATGGGCGGTTTCAGCTCATGTGAACAACTTAGTAGAAGCTAATGACACGGTCACACCTGACGTTATCCTCCTCTAAAGTCTACAAAATACACCACCTCAGCTAACATATATAAGAAAGGTGCATTCATTATTACACTTTCTCTCTCAATTTAGCTTCTGTTCTTTAAAAACCCTGCTAGCTCTTTATTGAAGACTTGCGTGTCAGAATGTCTTTAATAATACATTATTAAGTCTTTCAGAATAACCTATAAAGAATGAGCTGAGGTCATAGGAGCTGAGCTGAGATTAACTACTCGAGCTAATTTGTGCATTAATAGTTAATGCATATGATGTAGCAAGAGTGAATTTGGTGGATCTAAGAAGTTGGTGGCTAGTCGATTTGGTCGAGGCAGTGGTGCATATGCAACGGACAGATGGAAAAAGCAGATTTTAAAAGCGATGGTGGTCATGTAAACCAATAGGGGAGATGTTATAGACATAGGGATTTAATTGCCTTAAAAATGTTTACAGTGGTAAAGAAAGTTGATTTACAAAGCTGATATTATTGGTATAACACATTGGGGATAAGGATCATGAATAAGGTGGAGTCACTATTGAAACTATTTTGTGAGGGAAATAAAAAATTTCAATCTATAGTGAAGATCTTTGAGGATGTGGCTTGAATCAGTTGCATCAGGGATAAGTGTCTACACAATAGAGATGGATCCATACATTCCCTTAAGTGTAATTGGAATAATGTATATAGCTAGGACCATGTTATAGGACCAAATTTTAGTTTTTTTTTTTATATTAACATCTTAGTATTCGGTAATCACATTGAATCCCGATTAGTTCAGAATCGAATCGCGTCGGATCTCATTAGAGGAGAATCTCTCTCAACGTCTGTTTCTCTATTCACAATACTTGAACTAGAGAGCTTTTTTAAAGGGAATCGAGTTTCTTCCACTCGAACCAACAAGTCGATGGTAAGACCAAATTTTAGTACAAAATTATAGAAACCATTAATTATGTATAGGACTCATATAATCAACAATTAAAATAATTTCGTCTCAAATTTTCACCCTAAAATTTCATCCCAAGAATCATTACATTTTTAATTGAGACCCCTATTGAAGTTAGGGCTGAGGGGTTCTTAAAAGAGAAAGCCTCTCATATTGTAATTATTGTCCTAATTAGTGGATTTATTTTGTTTTTCATGAACATAAACTTGTTGAAAGAATGATAAAACCAAATAATATAAAAATAGTCGTGTTTTTCAAGCCGTAGTCCATTTTAAATTTGTAATTTAGGTAGTAAAATTATTGAAATGCTATTAACGAGATAATTTAAAAAAATATTCATTTATTACTTTTGATGCACAACTTGGAAAATAATTTTTCATAACAGAGAATCGATATTTTTGTTCTTTTTAAATTGTATCAGTATTTACCATCTCTTTTTTACAAAAAAATTTAACGTGAAGTATCTTTGAAATGGGTCATATCTCAACAAATTAATTTCAAACCCAATATATGAACAGTGCGTAGCAAATGAGCAACTGCTTGGGTCGTTTTCATCTGGAAACATACGTGACCCATTCTTGACTAGTTTCTATCGCCACCTATTAGTCTATTAGGCTACAATAAGGCACTAAATTAACTAGACACCAGAGCCTGGTCCTGCTCTCCAACCGACCCTCCCTCATAGACATAACCCAAGCTGATTAAAGTGGTACCTCCTCTAGATTTAGATTCCACCAACGTGGAGGCATACGCATCTAGGTTTTCCACCACCCACGAGTATATCAAGAATATCCATCTTCCACTCGATCCAAGGACCATTAATTTCAATGCTCAGAACCCTACATTTCTCCGGTTTAACTCTAAGGGGTCAAGGGCCCTGCAACGCCCCAGTTCCATGTCGGAAAAAGAGTACAATTATAAATGATAAATAAATATAAAAATTAATTATTATTAATAATTTAAGATTAAAATTTTAAAAATATATAAATTTTAATCTAAAAAAATTATTAAACCAAAAGTGAGTTTCAGACTATGCATACGCATGACTGATACGAGCAAGATGATCAGAGCGCTCCCGAGTCTTGCCTGCACATGCTCTGGTCCCACATTCACCAGTTTTACCAGTAACCACCACCACCACCCACCTAACGCGGGTCCCATTCTCCACGTCATCACAACCCCCCACAACGGCACATCCCCATCAATCTACCCTGGTGAGCACTCAAAAATCTCCCCAATCCGTTCCCCCGCCCTGGACCCCGAGCCGCGACAAACCGACCCCCATCCTCGTCAGCAAAGTGGTCCCCTCCCATTAAAACTCATGTCTTTCACCCGCCACGTGGAGTCATAATCGCGCATGCGACGCCTCACTACTCCCCTGGGCCCCACCACCAACCGACTAGAAAACGCTCCCCCCAAAAAACTGCCCCTTCCGTACACCCCTCATCATGAAAATCACCACCGAACTCCCCCCCC